AAAAGATTTCGGGTAACGAGTAGGTGTTCCAGAAATTATGAAAGTAGCAGTAATTCAATTTTGAAGTGGTCCTAAGACCGGACCGTTAACATCTTTAAACTAGATCTTTTATATGATGTAATAAATATTTTAAATTACCTAAATAAGCTGCTGAAGGTGCCTTCCCGTATAAAAACATAAATGGAGCCGATATCCAACCAACAAGACAAAAAAAAATTGCAATCCTTTTGTATAGGTTAATGTTTCGCGTATCAGGACCAACGTAAATTAGAGTGCGGGTATAATTGTTTTGTGAGACATTTTTTACATGACGACGAAAGACGAGACTTCCTGGTGAAAGGACGAAACTCTTGCGAAAGAAATCCCTGGGGAAAGACAATGTCCCTGGATAAAGACGATACCGTCGGTGAAGGAAAAAACCACTGGTGAAAGATGAAACCCCCGAAAATTTAATAAATGTAGTTGGTAGACGAAACCATTTTTCCATGGTGTCAAAAGCAAAAGTCTGAATATTACTATCCAGATAACGATTTATATCAAATCTACCACCCTTATCAACCAATTAGATCGCAAGATCTAATTTTTCTATACTTCAGATAGGACCTTTAAATGAACCTGATATTGAAATTTGATTGGCTAACGAATTTTTTAAGTAATAACGCGCGTCGTTTAACAATTGATTTTTTTCGTATTTCTGTGTTCTTTAATATGTCTTCTACAATTGTTACAATTGTTCCTTCACCTCCGCACGAGGAATATCAATATCTCAACCTTATTAAACATATAATCGATTACGGTGAACCTCGCGAAGATCGTACTGGTACTGGAACAATATCTATTTTCGCGCCACCACAACTACGATTTTCTTTACGTGATAATATTATCCCACTTTTAACTACTAAACGTGTTTTTACGCGAGCGGTTATCGAAGAATTATTATGGTTTATTAAAGGTGACACGAACGGAAATCACTTAACAGAAAAAGGCATTCATATCTGGGACGGTAATGGTTCACGTGAATATCTAGATAAAGTGGGATTATCTCATAGAAAACCTGGAGACTTAGGTCCTGTTTATGGATTTCAGTGGCGTCACTTTGGAGCAAAATATGTTGATTGTAATGCAGATTATACAGGTCAAGGTGTCGATCAGCTTCAAGAAGTTATTAATAAAATTAAAAATCATCCAAATGATAGACGTATTATTTTAAGTGCATGGAATCCTGCTGGTATGCTAAAAAAAACATTAATAGATTCACTTAATCATAATTCGATATTATATGGTAGTATTTCGATCCTATTTTTGACAGACTATCCAGATTTAATAGCCTTGGGCACATCCTTAGATCCGTTGTTTAAGTTCTTTGGCCATTCCGAGTAAAAATCTGATTTGGATATCTGAATTTATCCGGATTTAAGGATTAAGTCAGATTTAGGATCGAAACATTCAATTGGTTGACAACAACTAAGCGATTACTTATTATATTATCATTAATTCTCTTTTTAAATCATTAGATTTAAAGGAGATGGCATTGCCTCCATGTCACATGTTTTGTCAATTCTATGTATCAAATCCGAATCCTGAAACGCACATGCGAAGCCTTTCATGTCTTCTTTATCAACGTTCTTGTGATATGGGTCTCGGAGTTCCTTTCAATATTGCAAGTTACGCACTTTTAACTAGAATGATAGCTCATGTTACAGGCCTTGCGCCAGGTGAATTTATTCACACTATGGGTGACGCGCATATCTACATTGATCACATAGATGCACTAAAAGTGCAACTTGAGAGAGAACCCAAGGCATTTCCTCGTTTGGAATTTAAACGTGAAATAACAGATATTAGCGATTTCAAATTAGATGATTTTGAAATAATTGGGTATCAACCATATGGAAAAATAAAAATGAATATGTCTGCTTGAATTTCTATACGGATCAAATAAAAGATATATCGAAACTTGGTGTTCTGCAATGTTATTTACATTTTTTATTTTATTTTTTACTGTGAATACAGTTTGTAAAATGCAAACCAAATAATTGTTTACTAAATTTAAAAGACAACGATAATACCAGACTAATAAAACCCTAATTCCAGTCATCTTATACTAATAATTTCTCATTTATCACCAAAGATTATTCCAAAACATGCAATCACTGTAATTACTATCATTGTGATTTTACACATTATACTCTTTTCTATTGGTTAATTTCATGTTACGTTCTAGCAATCTCGATTACACATTTGTTTGTTTACCTAATTTTCACGTGATTGTATAACACAATTTGATCTGCGATTCCAAGTAACAACAAATCCCCAAAAATTCAACAAAATTTTTGAATTTTCTTCCGAAATTTCTTTACTTCTTGTTTTATTCTTAAAATAAGAAAAAACTTTTTCTTGTTCTTCTAATATAATATGTGTAGTTTCTGGTTATTTTTCTTTTTAATTAGTCTCTCTACTACTGTTTCTTAGTCTAGATTTTGACTTATTTCTGTTTTTCCTTTAGCTCCAGAAATGGTCAAAATGATCTATGGAAAGAGTGTGATATGTATTCTGATTATGCAGGTTTCTTGCTCATAGATCTTATCAAGATTTATTTATATAATATTATATCTTTCTAGATACCTTGTCATACTTCTAATATCTGAGTAATATTAGTATAATATGATTTACAAGGTTTACTATAAGTTAAATACAGAAGGTCTAGGTAATTATTCAATTTTGTCAATAGTAGAATTTGAATCTCAGACCTCTTATATAGTAGTTTGATAACCTAACTACTATACTAAAATCTTCAAATCTTGCTATATATTAATTAATATTACTAATAATATATAATAATTATAAAAAAATTTATGAATTTTTTTAAACTTTAATAATCATTTTTTCATTAACTAATAATTCAAATTAGCTCAAATTTTAATTATAAATAAAACTGATATTTATTTATAATATATTAAAATTTTAGCCAATTTGAATAAATAGTTTATAAAAAATCACTAAAATATAATAACAAATTTTTTTAAAAATATTGGTTATCATATATTAGTAATTTCTCATAAACTACTTATCTAAATTAGCTAAAATTTTATTATATTATAGATGAATATTAGTTTTATATATAGTTAAAATTTGAGCTAATTTGAATTATTAGTTATTAAAAAAATTATTATTAAAGTTTAAATAAAATTTATAATATTTTTGTTATATATTAATAATAATCTTTAGTGCTAATATGTAGCAGAGAAGCTATATATTGATATAAATTTAGAGATTATTATCAATATATAGCTTCTAAAAAAATTTAGTAATATATATAAAACTAGCAAAGATATATTTTCTATCTAAAGAGTATATTTTTGTATCTGGTGTTATAACAATTTTATAATATCTAAGAAAGTTTTAGATTAATAAAAAACTATTATTTATAAATTTTTATTAATATTGATATATAGATTAATTTAAAAGTCTTGTTATATTATATAGCTATTTTTTTTAGTTATGAATTTATACTTTTAAAAATTATATATATAAATTATATAAAATTAAACAAATTTACATTTTAAAAAAAATTATTATCTTAATTTTTATAGTTCATATCTTGATAAATTTTGAAGCTATATTGATTATTTAATAGTTAAAAAAAAGCTTATGAACTAAACTTTTTTCTATTTATTAAATTATTAAAATAGCTTTAAAATTTATTATAATATGACTATAAAAGTTAAGATATTGATTTTTTTTGAAATATAGATCTGCTTAATTTTAATTAATAGTAGTCTATATATTTGTAAAAAAAATTTAAATTAATTTTATTAAATAGATATTGAGAAAATTTTTTTTTAAATTACTAAGTTAAAAATAATTGAAAATATACTAATTTTTAACTAGATTAATTTATAAAATTAAGACAAAATTAGCTTGACTATCTTTTATTATAATAACTTTATATAATTAGCTAATTAAATTAAATATTAATAATTATATAGATAATTTATAGGCTGTGGTATCTTTTCATCAAAATATTTTTGGTTACTTATACTAATAGATCTAAAAAATAAAAAGGTCAAAGATTACTATAGCAAATTATACTTAGATACCAAAGTAGTAGCTAAGTGAGTTAATACTTAGTAGTAGTCAATAGATAGTTATATAAACTAGATAGAAGTGTTTTAATTATAGATTAAAATTATTAATTAAATAAAGTATTAGTATGATTGCTGAAAAAAAAATTTATATAGATAATTATATAATATTATTATTATTATTTTTTTAATAGTTATTATCATCTTTTTAGTATCATGTTTTATTATTTTAGTATTATTACTATTTGATATCATCATTATTAGTAAGTAATTTTTTTTATTATTGCAAAAAAGTAATTTTATTATTATTGTTATTGCTAGTAAGTAATTTTAATATTTTATAATTTAGTTATTTATTTTTTACTTTTTAACAAACTATCTGCAGATTATTTTATTAAATATTATTCTTAAGTTTATATTAGTTAGTGAGAATACAATTAGCTATACATATTACTTAGTTATTATCTATTTAAAGGCTCTGCTATTTAGATTATCTATTAATTGCTATATCTAGTATCTACTTGTAAATACTCTATTTAAACCTTTTAATATTTCTATATAATCTAATTTTAATCTAATATTTAACTTATACTAATCCTATGCTATCTTATTTGAGAACTGCTCAGACTAACTTATGCTTTAAATTGTCTTAGTACAAAGAGTTCTATTTTAAAGTACTGTTACAAGTAGTATAGCTTTCTTAGTATATCACAAGTAACATAAGACACAGATGAGGGACTCTCAACAGTGTCAAAGCAGGATATTACTTCGCAAAAGTGATTCATTAGAAAGATTATTTTAAAGCAAAGAGTATTTTTTATTCACAATACAATATCAATAATACAAAATTATCTATTAGTGTCTGTGCTAAGAGAATTCTAATATTAAGAAGATTGTAGAAGATAAATTTAACTTTAACAGAAGGGAGAAAAAGCAGGTTTTTATATCTTTTTTCTAAACATTCTCAAATGTAGTCAAATATCTTCAAACGTAGTTAAATGTCTTCAAACATCATCAAATATCATTAAACGTCTTCAAATATCTTCAAATGTTATCAAACGTCTTCAAGCGCAGTTAAGTGTAGTTAAATATCAATAGGGATTTCTAAATGCTAATAACTCTATAACTACTAATCTAATTCTTACAAATTATAGCTTGTTATGATCACGAGACTATTCTGATTCTAATAATACTAGTTAAAGATATTGCTAACTAATAAGATAATTTATAAAATACAAATAAAGAATAACTAATTAATAAATATAAAATAAAGATAAAATTATAAAACTCATTTGATAACACTATATCAAATATCAAAAGTAAAACTATATTAATATTATCTATATTAATATTAGTCTCTTAAAATATTAATATCTTCTTTTTTTTTTGCTTTTACAAGCTTACATACCTTATTAACTAGTATTATTGAAAAGAAATAACTTTAATTCTATATTAAAGTTAAGTTTATTTGCTATAATATTTTCTGTTATAGCATTTTTAAACTCAATAGTTAAGTTTGTACTTTTGGTATCTTTTTTATAATCTTTTAGAATATATTCAAAATTATTAAAAACTAATATATTAATATTATAAATTTTGTGATATTTTGTATTCATTATTAAAATAAAATAAAAAAAAGATTTTAATATTCAAAAAATATAGAAAAAAGAGAAAATAATTAATATTCTAAAATAAGAAGTTCAAATAACTTATTATTATTTAAACTATTACTATCACAAACTTATTGTTATTATTATATAAACTATTACTATTTACTAAACTTAATACTATTGTTATATTTTTTTTTTCAGTAATCATGCTAATACTTTATTTAATCAATAATTTTAATCTATGACTAAAATATTTCTATCTAGTATATATTACTATCTAATAACTACTACTAAGTATTAACTCACTCAGTTACTATTATAGTACCTAAGTGTAATCTGCTATAGTGATCTTTGATCTCTTTACTTTCAGACTCATAGAATAAGTAACTAAAAATACCTTGAAGGAAGGATACTACAGCTTATCATGTTTGCTAATTATGTTCATAAACTTTTTTTTCCTTTTACAATTTGCTTTAACAAACTATCTTTTGCTAATTTAAAGTCTAAACTTAATACTCTACTATTCTCATCTACTTGTTCTTCATCTAACATAGTTTGGCTTGCTTTGTTTGTCTTTTTTCCTTTATTTCTTTCTCTTGTTTTCTTTATTTTGCTAGCTTTCTTGTCTTTTGGTGATATTTCTTTATCTTTTTCTCAATTATTCATATCTGTATATCTTTAAATCTAGATTTCTAAATATACATATTCTATTCAAAGATTCCAGAATATCTCTAGAACTTTATAGTAGATTTCTCTATATCAATTACTTCCTTTATTTTTCTAACAATATTTTTATTTAGAATTCCTTATAGCTATTCGACATTTTAGGTTTGTTTTTCTTTTTTGAATATCTTTGTCATGATCTGCTTTAACTTTGGAAGTTCTAACTTTCTTTTTTTCTCTTGTCACTTTGTATCTTTTTTCAAACTTCTTTGCTTATTATTGTTAGTATATCTTATACTTTTTCATAGCAGATAATATGCTCATCTAATTCTAGTTTAATAAAACACTTTTTGCATATATTATCCTTGTATATATTTGGTTTTCTATTGTTTAATACTCTGACTATAGGAAGTAGGTTTTCAATATACTTTACTTTAAATATATATAGATGATTTGCTTTTATACTTCTACTCTACTACTTGTAACAACTTCTTAACAAGCCTTTGAATACTTTTTAGTTTTGATTTTTGAGACGATACTAATATCAGATATCATTTTTTTTT